TCTGTTCTAGAAGATATCGACAGCAAATTAATTTTACAAGAGGAACAGAGAAACGCGATCAAGGCTCATCTTCTTATTCTAGGCGTGCAACTGATTTTTGTTGACAACAACTATGCCTCGCTTAACATACGTCACGCACTCCGTTGCTCTTATTGGTTGTAGGTCTATCCAATTGAGTGCAGAGGCATTTTTTTTCCTGGTTCGTTCGAAACACGCCACATAATCACAGCTCTATGGAGCAGTATCAGACTCATATTCTGACTAGAATTTAGTAGGACTACGTGAGGCTAACTAACGATAGTTCCTGACCCAGGATTTTCCCGGTTTTTTTCCTTTTCTTTTTTTTAAGTGTCATTACACTGTCACAAGTAGGAAGACTAGGTTTTAGCTAATCAGACTCCATAGCGAATTAATTTACATTTTTAATATGGCCAAAAAATGGATGACGCTTTTGTGCCACAGTCAGTTTATTAATGACCCAAAATAATTGACAAAATATTAGGAAACATCTAAATAAAATATGCTACAGCCTAATCGAGAAGGCTGAATTTAATTATACTTGCATTTAAAGTTCATTTGAATTTTATTTTAAAGTTTAGACTGACCTGTTGTTCCATCTGTTGCTGGGGAAGTAGTAAAATAAATGTCTGTCTCCTTGATTGTTGTGTAAGATGTTTGACCTGATGAATGAAAGCAACAAACATAGTGAATAAAATCATATATATGCAACAAGTGTCAGGACTGATAGAAAAAAGATACTACTAGCAGTCACACTGAAAGTTGAGACTCCCTGACTTGTTGTTGAATCTAATTCTTTAACTTCTGCAAAAAACAGACAGTGCCTTTAGATCTCCATGTGATAAATAAAAACATATGATACAAACATTGATCTGTAAGAAAGTCATAATATAAAACCTTATGAAGCTGAAATAACATTTATTTTACAGACTAATATTGTATCTATAGAGATAGTAAACCTTATATGATGGTAGAGTTAATAACCTACTGTTAATCATAACTGATTGTATGTCACTGTCTGGAGACTGATGCTGTCCTCCATCTGTGTTCTTCACAGTGTAATAACATGTTAGTTCAACCACAGCAGGGGAAGTTTGAAATGTCATCATCAGGAGCTCACGTCCTGACATTGTCTGCTCACAGGAGATGATTTTAGGTATCTTTGATGTTATGAAGTATAAAAAACATTTATCCACAGAAACAAATGATGGAGTCCCACAGTTCAGTGTGACTGAGTCTGTCTCTGTGATGAGCTGTGGAGTCACAATCAGCTCAGGTGGAGGAACTAAAAATAAAATGAAAATAATATAAATTAAATATTTTATCAAGACAGTAATCATGATTAGACCAGCAAAGGTATATTTACTCACTTTGTATGATGATGGTGAGCAAGTTACTGTTTGGAGATTGATGTCCGTCAAGGTAAAAACATGTTAGGTTTAAGTTAGCAGGTGACCTTCGCTTTGCTAAAGACAAGATCTCTCCTCCTTTTAGTGTTTTCTGACAATTAAACCTCTGAAGTTGACTTCCTCCAACAATTAAAAAATGACACTCAGTAACAAGAACAGAAGATGGAGGCTGACAGTCTAAAGTGACCGAGTCTGTCTCTGTGATCACCGGTTGGTTCACTGTCAGTGTAGGTGGAACAAGGTCTGAAAACATGAACAAATAAAGTGCAGAAAATGTAAAATATGAGTGAGGAATATTAAGTATATCTGTAAACATATTTTAAGACTCTTTAAAAATAATATTACTGTTTATGGAGATGATGGTTGATTCACTGTCTGATGATGTAACATCTAAAGCTCCATATTTTACACTGTAGAAACATTTAACTTTGACCTCAGCGGATGATAAATTCTCTGTCATCCTCAGCAGTTCAGATCCTGTCAGTGTTTCCACACAGGAGGAGGCTGCAGACATCTTTTTGTTTTCAATGTAGAAAACACACTGATCAACATTAACATATGAGGTTGAACACTTTAATGTGACCGAGTCAGTCTCTGTGATCAGAAGTCGATCCACCTCTACTTTAGGTTGAGGAAGAGCTGAAAATTTAGAAGCATTTAGTTGTCAGATTTGATCTGCAAAAAAAATTATATTTACCACACAGACATTTAACTGAAACTGACCTTTACCTCTGGCTTCATAAGACAAATCTGTGAAACAGATATTGAAAATAAAATGTAGATGCAAGATGAATATCTTTTATAAATGCATATTTTTATTTCAATTTCTAAAACATTTTAAAAAATCACAGACTTTATGTAACAGAATTAATTTTAAATAACACAATATCAAGAATAAGACACTCAAACTTACTTAGGAGAATGAAGAACAGCAGCTCTAAAGCCATGATGAAGCTTTGGATGCTCTGAATAGAAAACATTGGTCTGTTTCCTGTCTAATCTGACTATGACCGATGTAAGTTTCAGAAGCTACTGTTAAAATAATCCACATGATCAGAAGTGGACCCTCCCCCTTGGCACAGGAACAAGTACTTTATATACCTTATAAACACACAACATACAAAATGCATAGGTGTTTCAGACCACAGTATCGATTAACCATACCAAAAAGGGAACCATCTATTTTTTGTACCACTAACGTTACTGAGAGAAATGTTAATAAGGTTTCTATGTTTCACTTCTGAATCCCTTGCATGTTCTCACTTTAAAATGTTTAAGCAATGCAGTCAATCCTGTTGGTTAGACTTTCCTTTCTGATTCCTATTAAGTGTCCTCAGAGGCAGCTTTTTGATCACAGATTTAAAAGAAAAAAGGTTAAACAAATATCTTAATTAAAGATATGTAGTGCATGATGTAACTCAAGAAAAAATTTGCAATGTTAGTAAACTGGTTTTAGGCTAAATATTCCCACAAATAAAATACACCAGAGTTATGTCCATAATAACTTTATTTATCCAAAAAGCAACAAAAAACTTTTTAAATAAAAAAAAATAATTCACCAAAAAGAAAATGTACATAATGTTTAACATAGCAGTTCTAAAATAATAATATAATTGAACTTTATTTCAGATTGGAGAAATTTACCTTTGCATTTAAGCCATCCCCTTGGGGAGCAGTGGGCTACCATCGTGCGGAGCCCGGGGAGCAGTATGTGGTTAAGGGTCTTGCTCAAAGACCCAGAGTGGCAGTCTGTGGGAGTGAGGCTCGATCTCAGGACCTCAGGATTCCAAGCTCTATGCCCTAACAACTAGGCTGCCACTCCCCAATAAAGGAGTCATTTAATCAGTTTGATTCATTACAATATATCTGAAAATATCTAGGAGTAACTTTTTGATCAGTTTAAATCAGTTTATGGTATTTAGTAAGTTCAGGCAAAGTTTTTATATTAAGACTGTTACAAAATCCTTAAAGAGGCAATAAAATTAGGAAAACAAAATTATAATGCAAGTATTAGTAATCACAGCAGATAAAACATAATGGATCATCTAAATGACTTTTATTTACACTCAGTCTGGCTGCAGTT